ATTTCTGAGCCTTGGTGCTGGGGGTCGAGCCCCGCCGGGACTTCCGCCTGACCCAGTCTCCGTCTGAGTGCGCAGCTCCCCTCGTGGGAGAAGCCCCCTCCCCAGCCCAGCTCCGCTGCAGCCGCGCTGAGCCCCTAGTGGCGGCCACCCGGGCGAGCATCCCAGGCTGTTACCCTCCTGACCGCCAGAGGGAGCCTTCTGACACCGCCGCCTCCAGAGCTCTAAACTCTCCCATGGCTCCCCAGTACCCCCAGGCTGTCACCTCCAGCCCTTGCTGACCTCGCTTCCAGCCGCCCTCCCGCCCCTCCCAACCCTCCTCAGCCCCCGGCCACCTCAAAGCACAGCCTCCTGCTCAGGCCACCTCTCCGTGTGTTTCCCCAGGCGACCTCTATATATCTGCCCTCACTTCTCCCACAGCTTTCGGGGAGTCCTGGTTAAGCTTCTCACCAGGGAGACCACTAAGCCCTCGCATTTTCCTGCCCCCGGCAGAGCTTGCTGGGTGCCCTCCCTGTCCCTCAGGGCCATTGCCCTGGGCAGGCGGTAATGAGAGCTGTTTTGGGGAGTGGGGGGCGCGTTCCACCATCCTCCGACCACAGGAGTCTCTGGCGGGCAGACCAAATGCCCTTTGTCCAACGTAAACTAGAGGTTCCTCTTCATACTATACTTTCCTCCCCATCTAATTAGGAATAAATAGTAACTTCTCTTAGAAGCAAAATGTATTCAAAGATCTGTGCTAACATTCTTCACTATCTGCTGGCTGTACTAAATCAACGTACTTTATATTCTCAGTTGCCACCAGGTAGCCTAAATATTTGCCCTGGCATGCTTATGCTGGTCCAAGCGGGCATTAGGTCACAGCCTGTTCCTCTTCCTTATCTGAAGGTGCTTTTACCTTTCTCAGCATTCCACAAGTTACTTCTTCCTTCCTTTGCTCTCCTCTGCCTTTGCCTCTTTTACAAAGTTCTAAGTTGCCGGCCGATCGGAACAAATACAAAAGGTGAGGTCCTGTTCCAGCCAACAGAAACTGGACACAGAAGCAGGGTGGACGCGTCAGGTTAGAAATGACCCTGTCTCCTTTGTTCGGTGTACTCTCGCGGCAAAACTGCAGGTGAGTGCACCCTTTCTGCAGAAAGTAAACCAATGGCCTTGCCGAGGAAATTAAATTTATGTTCCAGTGCCATTTCTTTACGGCACCAGGGAACAAGCATTCCTGACACTTTATTCTCCAGCCCTGGACTGTGGGATGAGGGAGATGGAGCCATCAGGGCGGGGCCCACAGTCAGCCCTCCTGCTGTCCGGAGCCCTCAGATCTCTCCTCTCCACGGAGTAGGTGTCCACTGAGAAAAATGACAAGTTTCAGTTTCTATCCTTTTAGGAGGTTTATTTGCCAAAGCCTCAGGAGGTCCTGACGGCAGGGGCCCAAGGTGGTCAGGGCATAGCTGGTTTTACGCATTTTAGGGAGATATGACACATGAATCAATATATGTAAGAAGTACGTTGGTTCCGTCCAGAAAGTCGGGGGTCACTCTAGCGGGGGGGGGGGGCTTCCAGGTCACAGGTAGGCGGGACAAACGGTCACCTTCTTTTGAGTTTCTGATGAGCCTTTCCAAAGGAGGCGATCAGAATGTGCGTCCCTCTCTGTGACCAGAGGGATGACTTTGAATAGAATGGGAGGCAGGTTTGCCCCGACCAGTTCTCAGCTTGAAGGGGTCCAACCTATTTTCCCTTCACAGGGGGAAGGGCTGGCTACTCAGAAGGGGCTACTTCCGACCTGGTCGGTCCCCCTTAATCCAGCCCAGGTCGACACCTGGGGCAGGAGCCTCAGAGAAGCTGGTGGGTGGGCGCCGTCCTCAGCCAGGTGCCGGCAGCGTTTCCAGAGGTGATAGGTGGGCAAAGCCAGGAGCAGCAGTCCCAGCACCGCACTGCTGGTCCACAGAGCCGTGGGCAGCTGGTCACCCGTAGGTTTGGACGCTGGGGAGAGCAGGAGACGCCGGTCAGAGCCCTCCAGGCCTCTGCAGGCTTGGGAAGGGAGGAGTCCCTCAGAGGCTACACGAGCTTCCAGAGTTACCACATTCCCTGAAATTTCACAAAGGACTTTACCTTTGTGACCCTTTCAAAATGCGCATAGCACCTTAGAGTTTAGAAATGGGCAGTCCAGGCCGGGCGTGGAGGCTCACGCCTGAAATCCCAGCACTTTGGGAGGCCGAAGCGGGCGGATCATGAGGTTAGGAGTTCGAGACCAGCCTGACCATGGGGAAACCCTGTACCTCCTAAAAATACAAAAATTAGCCGGGCATGGTGACAGGTGCCTGTAATCCCAGCTACTCAGGAGGCTCAGGCGGGAGAATCACTTGAACCCGGGAGGCGGAGGTTGCAGTGAGCCGAGATCGTACCACTGCACTCCAGCCTTGTGCAACAGAGTGAGACTCTGTCGCACACACACACACAAAAGAGCAGTCCGGAGAGAGGACGGCTCACCACCACGAAGGGTGCTGAGCCTGCAATCTGCACTTTGAAGACTTAGTTTGGGGAAAAAGGAGGAGTGTAATATATCTCCTTCATGCCATTTTATACTGATTACCTGTTGAAATGATAATACTTGGGATATATTGGGCTCCATGAAATGTATGACCACACTTTTTTTTTTTGAAGTGGAATCTCACTCTGTTCCCCAGGTCGGAGTGCAGTGGTGCAATCTCGGCTCATTGCAAGCTCTGCCTCTTGGGTTCAAGTGATTCTCCTGCCTCATCCTCCCGAGTAGCTGGGACTACAGGCGCCCGTTACCACACCTGGCTAATTTTTGTATTTTTAGTAGAGATGAGGTTTCACCATGTTG